ATTCGGGCATCCCTTAGCTGCATGAGACATCACCTCAGGACAGATTAGTCCCTGAAGTAGCAGCTCACTCACTCAGCTGATCAAACTTGGTGTTTGTTAAAACATGGAGAGGAGAGCTTTCCTTGTGGAGAGAGGCTGAGGCCACTGTAGGCCTAGTTCTGCTTGCTGGGAAGAGTGGAAAAGTGGGCTCTTCTCATCAACTTGCCCACAGGACTCCTCCTTCCAATTCCACCCCTCCCGGCTGGGCTCAGATGAGCCCCCAACCTCTCCTTTTATTCTCCTTCCCCTCCCCTTACAATTATACCACACCTTGCTAGTCTCTTCTCTCTTTCTCAAGACGCCTAGAGTTTGATTGGGTGTCCTATAATCCTTTTTATCTGTTTAGCATTTAACTTTTTTATTCTGGTATAAACACATCCTTAAATCTCCTCTTCTCATTTGCCATTGATTATGTGGTTTGTGTCAAAGAAATGCACCCCAGACCCCAAGCTCTTCAATAACTGGAGTACTACAACACAGCAGATGCCAGTATGCAGACCATAATTGCCACTGCCTGCCTGGGTCACCAGGGCAGACAAGGTCACCAAGTAAGGTTTTGCAAGTTGTGCACTATGCAAGAGCCCCTGGCCAAGGGGCTAACTTGGGGCAGAAATCCAGCTTACACTTCATGTGCCAAGGAGTACATCCTGAGGGATTTCCAAATCTTTTCCAAATTTGTATCAAATGTGCCTTATGGAAGGGCAGAGGCTCCATAATCTTCCTTCTCCTAAGCCACTTTCCAAATTCTCATTTAGTAGGTGTGAGGTGGGGACTGGGAACATGCAAGTTCGAAGAGTTCCCAGGTGACAGTGATCTTAGCCAGAGCTGGGAATGAGGCCGGACACCGCACATGTTCCCAGTCAGCTGGAATGAAATCTTGATTAGCTGTAATGCTCAGCAAATGGGTGTTCTGGCTGACTGAAGTCAGAGGAGAAAAGAAGACATAAACTTCAGTCTGTTTCTGTAATTTTGGGAAAATACTTTATAAAAGTATATCACTCAACTGCTCTGGAAATATACATACATAAGTATACATACACACTCATAATTATATTTCATTGACATCTGAAATTTCAGTATAATCATTTTGAAAAGCCAGCCTCATTTTATAGCCGAGAGAGAGAGAAAGAGAGAGTGTACCAGAGGTCCAGAGGCATAGGAGAAGCAGCATAGGATACAGCCTAAATCCTGAATGGTATTTCATCTTCCCCATTCTTCTACTGCAATCTGCCTCTTTTTGATAAAATAGTCTATTGGCTAAAAATGACAATAAATTAAGGTTTCAAATAACCACATACTACAATAAAATGGTACTTTATTTGGAAATAGGATCTAAAATGTCAAATGCAACTTTTATTTTGTTTACTTTTCATAGCAGTATATTTTGAGGACTTATTTTATGACTAGGTAAAATAGGACTATCAATTATAATAGAAATAAAAAAGCCTCAGTTCCTCTAAGAGAACAGACAGTCAAATACTAGATATGGGTTGAAATTATAAGGAATGGTGGATGTGAGTACACAGTAAGAGAGCAAGCCAACTTCCTTGGCATCTCACCTTAGGGTGAGACTTCCTCAATTTAGTCATGTTAATTCCTTCATAAAGAGGAACAAGACCCTTCTGACTCTTATCTCTGGCTCCAAATCCAACTGATCAGCCTCTCCCCACAGTGTCCGCAGTTGACGGAGCACTTAAGACCATCTTGTTGATTTGGTCAGGGGAAGAGCCCTGGCTTCTGTGTCGGATTTCACTGATTTGTTCATAAAAGCCTCACTACACACAAGCCTCCTACCCTACATACTGCTGCCCCGTCCAGGGATACTTAATAGTTCACCTACAGCAATCTCAGCAACAGGGATGACAGGAAATAGAATTGCTTGCTTCCCTGGGCTTATGGTTTATTTTTTGACCTCAAACCTGGTGTCTTAAATGAAAAGCAAAACCTTCTTTATGTTCAGAAAAGTCCTAACAAGGTACTGACCCAAAACACTTTTATGGGTAAAAAATTATCAGTCTGTCCGGTGCAGACAATAAAATGATGTCCTTTGTAAATAATATACAGAAGTTGCTCTTTCCTTTAAAAAAAAAAAGCCAATTCTTGGTCCAATCGTAGGTGTTTTTTGGAACTTCAGTAATTTTCTTTTCCTCTACATGTTTTTTTTTATACCAAGTGTATTCTGTAAGTGTGAGGGATGACCTCACAGCAGGCTTAGATACTGACATATGCTTACAGACAAACAGCCCACACAGAAGACCCAGAAATGAGACACTGGGGCAACTTAGCTGGTCTAGAAGCAATAATGACTGACAGGCCATGAGGCAGAGATAGTGGGCAACAAGCAATAGAGCAGCATGAAGCGGTAGTCTTCCCATTTAGAGAAGCAGGCCGGCCACAGATGGACAGAGGATTACAAGATTACATTGTGTGACAAAGCCACTGCATTCCCGTAGGAGCTTGATAGGTCTAAGGCCAGATGGGATAATTTGTCTTACCCCATGACCCAGACTGCGGAATGCAACTAACACATTTTCCTGCTGGCTTCAGGCCAAATCCTGTCTCTTGCTCTTCTCACGTACACTAGAGTGTGCCTTTCATAGGCTGGTTCTAAATCATCAAAGTAGGTGGACACTTGAGCAGTGACTGGTGTGTTCAGGAACACCTCACATTCTTTATATCTTCACAAGACAAAAGTAGATTTGGTGGAGTGTTGTATAAAACAAATGATGTGGTCTCTCTGTTAGAAAAGTTCTGAATTTGCCAGAAGGTTAAAAATGTTATTTGGCTTCACTGTGGTCATTGAGAAATTAGTATCGATCTCTCCATTTGAGAACTTCAAGAACCCTAGCGAAGTCACAAAATCTGGTTTAATCCCTAGTGTGATGCAGTTTTAACATTTGGGGATAAAGAGCCAAGCCGAAACATTGGAAGGCAGAATTTCCTATTGTGAAGTCAAAGTTATCTCAGGTTTTGTAAGTCAAGATGGAACTACAGGGTTGGGGAGGCCTTGTGTCTGTGGGTAGCTCCTATTGGTGGAAAATAAAGTCCATTGCACCAGCCTTGGCCTGTTTCCCAAGGTAGCTCTCAGATACTAGAAATCAAGCACATGACAGTTCATCTCAGTTTACTCCTTTAAAAACCAAAGAAGCTCTCAACATGTTCCAAGGGGCTGACAGACACAACCTGAAGAGGTTGCTGGTGACATCCCATGTTTATGAATCTGAAGACTTCATATTGTTAAGTGGACAGTATTCCCCAAATTAATCTATAGATTCAATCTCCATTAAATCTCCACCTTGCTTCTTTGTGGAAATTAACATATTGATTTTACCATTCATATGGAAATTCAAGGACCCAGAATAGTCAAAACAATCCTGAAAAAGAAAAACCAACTAAGAGGACTCAAATTTCTCAGTTTTAATACTTCCTACAAAGCTGTAATAATTAAAACAGTATGGTGCTGGCATAAGGAGAGACATACAGACTAATGAAATGAAATAGATAGTCCAGAAATAAATCCTCTCACATTTATGGAACATTGACTTTTAAAAAGAGTATCAAGACAATTTAGTGGGGAAAAGAATAGTCTTTTCACAAATAGTGCTGGGACAACTGGATAGCCACATGCAAAAGAATGAAGTTGGATTGTATTGTATATATTGTATATACAATATTGTATATAAAAAGTACCTCGAAATAGATCAAATATCTAAATACACAGCTAAAACTATAAAATTTTTAGGAGAAACACGGACATAAATCTTTTGACCTTGGATCAGGCAATGTTTTTTTTTAGATTTAGCACCAAAAGCACAAGCAATGAAATAAAAAAGATAAACTAGACTTCATCAAAATAAAAACTTTTCTGCTGCAAAAGTCATAATGAAGAAAGAAAAAAATAACTCAAAGAATGGAAGAAAATATTTGTAAATTATATATCTGATAAGGGACATACATCTAAAAAATATAAAGAACTATTATAACACCATAATAAAAAGAAAATCCAGTTAAAAAATGAACAAAGAGTCTGAATAGGGATTTATATAAAGGAGATAATACAGATGACCAATAAATGCACAGAAAGATGTTCAATATCATCAGCCATCATGGAAATGGAAAGCAAAACCACAGTGAGATACCACCGTACACTGACTAGGATGGCTAGGATCAAAAAGTCAGATAATAACTAGTGTTGGTGAGGAAATGAAAAAAATGGAACCCTAACACATTACTCATAGGAATGTAAAGTAGTCCTAGAAGAACAATGTTTTTGCTCATGATACTTGGAAGGTGGCACTAAATATCTTAGCAAGTCTGTATACCATGAGCAGAAACTTCTTCTTCTTTCAGGATCACTTTTAGCTTGATAAACTTCCTGGTTGAAACCATGAAGTGATATAAATAAGGAGAAACTCCCACCCTGTGGTTAGATAATTTATACTCAATCATATTATGAATTTGTCATGACCCGAACATTATCAAAAAAAAAAGAAAGTTTTAAAACTTTTACTTCCAGCAATGAACATTCTAATATTTGCATAGTAACCATTCAATAATATGCATATGCATATTCGCCATATTAATATCAGTATTTTTTTGCCTCACTAAGGTGGCCCTTGTTATATTTTTAGGGTTTATTTCAATCATTCTTTCCTCAGTGCTCAAAATATACCACAGTGGTCTTGCTGGACTCTTCAAAGCAATTCACATTTTCCCCATCTTGCTGGCCTGAATTTTGACAGCTGGACCTTACATGTAGCTCAAGAGAACTGCCCCTGCACAAATCAACAAAAAACCAGCCCTGGATTATAGATTAAAGGTTTCAGTTTACTGGAAACTTTATCGAATTTTCTTTTCTTTTGAAAAGTTGACTTGTGTATGTTTCTGTGAAGTGACAAGGAACAGCGCTAGGTGTGAAGTTGGTGGGTTTCACCTTTCAATTAGTGGTCCTTGGCTCTCACCTGACCATCCAGGGAGGCAGCGGCAATGGCCCGTGGTAGGGTGGCAGCCATCTGCGTGGCTGCAGTCACAGCGCTCAGCACAGTTCAGCCCGTACGTGCCATCCTGCATGGAAAACAGCATCAAAGGCAACAATGAGGGCCTGGGAAATCCCACAACAGGAGAGGAAAAGGCCACTGTCAGCCATTTCACATACAGTCTGCTGTCCCAAACACTTCTTAGAGGGATGCATCTTTTTTTTTTCTTTTCTTTTCTTTTTTGAGATGGAGTCTCGCTCTGTTGCCCAGGCTGGAGTGCAGTGGTGTGATCTCAGCTCACCACAACCTCGGCCTCCTGGGTTAAAGCAATTCTCAGCCTCCCGAGTAGCTGGGACTTCAGGCACCTGCCACCATGCCCAGCTAATTTTTGTATTTTTAGTGGAGACAGGGTTTCACCTTGTTGGTTGGGCTGGTCTCAAACTCCTGACCTCAGGTGATCCACCCACCTCGGCCTCCCAAAGTGTTGGGATTACAGGTGGGAGCCACCGCACTCAGCCAGAGGGATGCATCTTAATCACCTCTTTCTATGTCTTCTTAGTCCCCAAAATAGATGCTCCAGGAAGTCAGTGTTTTAAAGTCACTCAAACCCTAGTTTATGCCTGACACAACGGTTGGGACATAAAAATGGTGAAGCCAATCATGCCAATACACTGATATCCATATATGCAAATATATGTAAAAATGCCAAGTATTTAAAAGAAGTTTATCCTATAAGCTACAACTCATAAAAATATTTTCTTTTGTCTCTAAAGATTTTTTACAAAATAGATCAGTGTCCCCTATAATGCATTCTATTATTTAGTGAAAAGAGAGAATGACTCACACAAAAACAACCCTTACCCACACAAAAAGCTCTAAAATTATAGTTTTAAAACTATTTTATAATTTTAAAAAATGCTTAATTATAAACTAATTTTTAAAATTATAGTTTTAATTGAATTGAGTTCATTGCCATAAGTTGCCAACGAGATACATGGTACTATAAAGAAAAATGAAGAACTTTTGTTACTTTTCTCTAATTATTATCCTGCTTTTCAGGAGGAAGTCTAAGCCACACAAAATATTCTGACTCACAATCCTAAGCATGAGTCGACACACCTCCTCACCCACCCCTTCCAGATCTTTTCTATTTTCACATGCATGTCAGTTTGGATGGTCTGATGAAGACAACACTCCTCATGTACATGATCATTTTGTTTGTGGAGAAAGAATGGAAAGTTCAGCTCTTTCACCCCAGATCCTGAGAATTGAGGGAGGCACTACATGCCTTCCCAACACCACCAAAGCACTAAGAGAAACAGGGGTACAGAATTACCACGGAGGAGGAACATGGGAACCAGCATAGACAGGTAGTGGCTGTTATAGATGAATAATTATTTGTCTAGAACTAGTTAAAATAAGAAAAAGAAAATCATTTTGTAGACCCCACCAATGTTTGATAGAGCTACACAGGATTTAGCTTTGTCATGATATGAACCACTAAACTCTCAGCCTTCACTGATGTACTAACTCCTCTAAGGTATGAAAAAGGACGAGATTGTGGTAGGGGCTTTACTTTGTCTACAATCAGACAGGGAGTAAAAAGTGATCTTCAAGCTCATCTCCAAGTACTGATAATTTGTTCACTAGTCTGATGAGAGGCAGCAAAGCTGACAACTCTGTCCATGGGATATCCATGAGTGGGATCCTTTCTACTTTGGGAAGTGGGTTGCACTTAATGAGGAGGAAGCCCAGAGAGAGAAGAGCATTGTGGAAGGCCCTTCTTGAGGGGCCCAGTTCAGGGGGTCACATTGTTATCTCGCCATCAGATGATGTCCTGGAGGCAGAGAACACACACCACAGAAAGAATGCCTAATGGCTCAGGAGAAAAGAATTGCTATACGAAGACAGAGTGATGGAAAAGAAATCAGCAGCTTACTCCAGAATGCACTTCCCATTTGCACTCCCTGACAGCCTGAGCTAGATGCAGTATGAGATTTCTAATGACCTGTATCTCCAAAGTAGGTCAAGGCAATAGAGTGAGCTATAGGGACATCTTAAGATATTCCTGTGGCTCCAGAGATACTTATGCTAAAAGACACTGTTTCCAAACCTTCTTTTAACACTTCCAGGAGCATTTCTGTGACATCAATCACCACCCTCCTTTCAAATCCCAGCCACTTTCCACCCTAAAGGCAGGGGGATTTCCATGATAATGGAAACAAAATATTTGGAGAGTTGACAGGCATACACTGGGTGTTTGACCAGTGCTGTTCACTGGCTACCACCAAGAGATGGGTGTATAAGAAACAGAAAATAAAGGGTGGGGGTTGAGGAAACTGAATAAGATGAAGGAAAAGAAGGAAGAAATGATCACAGAGCCTATCTAACCAGTTTCCATGTTGATCCCTTTTCCAATCCTATGTCCAATTTGAATCCAAACGCCTAGATTCTTCCAATAGTCACCGAAGTTGGGTTCACACTGAGCCACTTGAAGTCAGGAAAACTGCAAAAAGAAGCCAACTCTATGGCATTAGCTCTTCATAGGCATTTTCCATCAGGGCGCTGATTCGTGCATACCTGGCAGGGAAGTTCGCATTTCTCCCCGCGCCATCCAGGAGCACATGTGCAGGTCCCGTCCAGGGTGTTGCAGGCTCCCCCGTTGAGGCACTGGCATGTTAAGTTACAGCCAAAGCCCCATGTGCCACTGGGACATCTGATGGAGCAGTCCACCCCGTGCCAGCCTGTGCGACAAGAACACCAGAGCATGTGAGCGAACAAAGGCAGCAGGGAGCCTTGCTGAGCCTTTCCAAAACATGTTTCTCTTTAGAAACACCTTGGAGATGCACACAGTGCCTCCCAGCCACAGCCACAGCAGCAGAGAGCACTGGTTCTGCCAAGTGAGGCCTCCATCACAAATGAACAGAAGGCACCCCTGAGGACCCAAACAGCCATGTGTGCTGTGTGATCTGTCGAGAATGCCAACACTGCAAAATACTAGTGGGCTAATGAGGAAGAGATATAGAGTCAAAGCACCTTTAATGGGCAGTGATGCACACTGTGGAGTGCTGAGTTTTGTTCAGATCAGGAAAGTGAAATAATTTATATGGAAGGGAGACAAAGGATTCTGCTTGAAAACACAACCCCATCTTTAAAGCAGGACCCCATTAACCAGTAACTGTGTATATACGGGATCCTGGCTGCACCTATGGATGGACATATATCCAGGATCCTAACTGCACCTATGATGCTCATATAAAATTGGTGCTTGGCTGCATTTCTTGTCATAACTCCAAGCCAGTCAATTTAGGGGCATGAACACATGTCTGCTTGTTTACTCTTCCCAAAATGCACAGACATACAGACTTTTGGAGCTGGCAGTGACTTCAGAGATCATCTAATGTGAACCTCTTCCCTTGACTCAGGAAAGCATTCCAGCCCACACTGGATGAGGGACTTGCAGAGGTCAGACACTGAATTTTGGTGCAACTGGAGCTAGAACCCTGGTTAAGGTTTCTTTCTTTTTGTGTCTTTAGGAGGTAAAGTGACAGGATCAAATTAAAGACTTATTTACCCCCACTCTTACCTGCCTTGCAAGTACAAGACCCGTCCACAGGAGAGCAGACTGCATCATTTTTACAGCCACAGCGAGAGGAACAGTTTATCCCATAGGTTCCCAGACGGCATGGGGTAGAGCAGTCAATTCCCTAGATAGGCACAAGTAGCAAAATGCACTCAGTTTTGCCAGCTGAAATAAGGCCAACACAAATAAACAAAAATATATCTTGGCAATGCTAATTATACTTCCCCTCTAATTTTAACACACTGTATTTTTAAAATTTTGTCATAATGTCACCACTATACAAATTTTAGAAATGTAAGAGCAACACTAGCTGGTCTATGTTTAGGATATATTATTAAATGGGATCCAAAAAAGTTTGCACCTACCTTAGCTTCGCCTTCATAGCAGAACCAAAACAAAACAACAATAAAAACCCTATGTCCTTGCTCAGACAAGTAGATATATAAAAATAAATTGTATCTGTAAAATTACTGTCAATAAATAAACATCAGTATGAACTATACATTAGATCTCAACACTTCCTAGACATCCTTGTATAATAATATGTAATATTTTTAGTGGGTAAAGCAAAGCAACAACAGAACACATTCAGCAACATGATTCACTTTATCCGACAGGGAGCATTAAACATAGAATTAAGCTACCAAAGGCAACTGGAGGTCATCTCCTTTCAAAACAGAAGGGACTCTTAAGACAAAGCTAATTCAAGGGCTGAACCAAAGAGTTATGACAGGGTTAGAAAACCCTTTAAAGATCCTCTCAGCTCTGTGACTTTATGATCCACCAGTTCTACATTATGTGCTCTGGAATAATCATCAACATTCTTCATAGTTCAATGTGCTCTTTACAATGGGAAGGAATAATTCAAGAGCAACACATTCTCCTTTACAGCAAAGATTCCTAGCCTATCACGATGAAATCTTAGAAACTGTAAGCAAAATTCTGCTCTATTGCGCGTGGAATATAGATGTATTTATAGGGTCTGGATTTCCAAAGGGACCTAAAAACTTATGTACTACCAACTATAGAATGTAAATCCATTACAAATGCTAACTCGATGTGCCTTCAAATTTCATGGACTTAAAAACAAAAGCTGTCAACAATAACAGTAATCTACTTGGAAAAGTAACTTCTTTGTCACCTATAAAACACAATAAAATAAATTACTTAAGGAATAATTATAATATACTTTCTGACATATGTTTATATTAAAAATTAATGCCACATTTATAGTTTTACAGCTTTCCCAGTCATCATACTAAGGTAATTCCTTATATCTCTGTTAGCATTTTTCTCCTCATTTTCTCTCTCATTAATGATACGGATGACTTTAGCACATTCACTGTATTTCACTGGAGGTCATATAAACCATGGTGTTGAGATGCTTTACACTGCACCCCTCTTCTCCTTCCTCCAGAACCCTAGTCACTCACTTTGAATCCTGGGGCACAGGTGCACTTTCCAGTCACACTGTCACAGTCTGCCCCATTTTGGCAGCTGCAGATCTGCTGGCAAGCTTCCCCGTAGAATCCAGGAGAACATGTCTCATTACAGTAGAGTCCTGACCAGCCCGGCTTGCAGGCACACTCTCCAGACATGGGATGACAGCTGAGAGACATGGATGAAGGAATAAGTCACTTTGGGGTAAACATGACACCCAACTTCTGTGCAAATGTTGCTTTAGCAATGATCACTAAATGTATGGGTAATTCCATGCACAATAATTCAAACTTCATTCCCAGGCTGGGTATGATTTAATTAATTGGCTGAAACCTGATGGGTAATACAGAAATGTTGTATGAAATCAGCATCATGTCTAGCAGGATGTATTACAACCACATCCTTTTGTCTGAAATTCTTTTTAATTTTCTTAAATTGAATGCACTAATTTTGTAAGAGGTCAACTCTGTGACAGGAGCTAAAAAAACTCCATCCAATGGACAATACCAAACCAGTTAACTAGTATGATGTCCCAGGAACACCAAAAGCAGTGACCTCGTCAGCCTGTTTCTCCCTCAGTTCCCTATACCTGGTAGCAGGCAGCTGTCTCCACCTGAAACAGCAGCCGCATTGACCCACCAGGCAACCAGCTGTTGCTCCATAGCAAATGGACATATCAGCTGCGCTGAGATGCACACGTAGTAAGTTGACACAATAGGGCCCTCTGTGACATGCTGGCTCAAAGCACATATGCTTCTCACCACGAGAAAATCTTAACAATCAAACTAGTTCTGCTGACAACTGGAAGACTGTTTAAAGATGGTCTTCCTTGCCTAATGTAGCTAAAACCCTGCCCTTAATTAGGGACTACAACAAACACCTCTGTCATATCTAGACATTTGCTAAATGACTTCCCATCAGAGGACTGTTCATAGATTTTCTACTCTTGGAAAGAATGACAACCTGGGAGGGATGAAGACTGAGGATGCAACCCCAGTTCTCCCACTACCTGAGTAGCCTCAGTGAAATCATACAACTTCCCTGGGTCTGATGTCCTAGTCTGTCAAGTGAGGGTCTCAGCCATGTATCATAATCTCATAACCTATATTCCTCCTTCTCCTTGTTCAGAAAATTCCTGTGGGTTGAATGGTTTGGTGCTCAGTTTTGGAGGTTTATTTAAATATACTTTTAGATCCCTTCTGTATCTTAGTGTTCACAGGCAAAGGCCTAGAAATTCATCGAACACTCAGAAAACATGGCATGAAGAATACCTAAATACAGTTCTACATATGAGGTGGTTTCTTGAGTGTAGGTTTAGATTCACAGGACCAGGGCATGAGTCTCAGATCTACTTAGATCTACTCAAGTCTGCTTATCTTCTATTATCCTTGGGCCAATCGCTTATCCTTGAGCAGTCACATGGCATCTCCATGGCATCTCAAACTTAACATGTCAAAAACTGAGCCCTTGGGCCAGGCACGGTGGCTCAAACTTGTAATCCCAACACTTTGGGATGCTAAGGCGGGCAGATCACGAGGTCAGGAGATCGAGACCATCCTGGCTAACTCAGTGAAACCCCGTCTCTACTAAAAATACCAAAAAAATTAGCCAGGTGTGGTGGCAGGCACCTGTAGTCCCAGCTACTCAGGAGGCTGAGGAAGGAGAATGGTGTGAATCCAGGAGGCAGAGCTTGTAGTGAGCCGAGATCACACCACTGCACTCCAGTCTGGGCAACAGAGCGAGACTTTGTCTCAGAAAAAAAAAACAAAAAACAAAAAACAAAAAAAACCCTGAGCCCTTGTTCTTTCCCTCAGTAAACTGAGCCCTTGTTCTTTCCCTCAGTATCTACCCCTAATTGTCCAAATTTCTGTAAATAGCACCATCAGTCACTTAGTTTATCTAGGAGTTATTCTTTTTTTTTTTTTTTTTTTTTTTTGAGATGGAGTCTCTCTCTGTCACCCAGGCTGGACTGCAGTGGGGCAATCTCGGCTCACTACAACCTCCACCATTCAAGTGATTCTTCTGCTTCAGACTCCTGAGTAGCTGGGATTATAGGCATGTGCCCCATGCCCAGTTAATTTTTGTATTTTTAGTAGAGACAGAATTCCACCATTTTGGCCAGGCTGATCTCGAACTCCTGACCTCAAGTGATCTGCCCGCCTTGGCCTCCCAAAGTGCTGGGATTATAAGTGTGAGCCACCGTGCCTGGCCTAGGAGTTATTCTTGATAATTCCTTCTGCCTCATCACTAGAATTTAACCATTCTAACTCCAAAATATATTTTGAATCCACTCACATCCCTTCATCTTCACTGTCCTCATTCTGCTCCAACGGATGCCATCTATCTCCTCACCTTCTGAACAGCTTTCCAACTGTGCGCCCACATCCACTCATGCCTTATCACCTAAAGAGTAAATCATATCATTCTCCTTCTTAAAACTCTGCAAAGGCTCCCCACTACCCTTGGAACAAAATCCAGACTGTTTAATATAACTACAGAGACTCTACAATTTATTGTCTAAACCAGGGCATTTTTAAGAGTGAAGAGAGAATTGCTAATAATTATACTAGGACAACAGGCCTAAACCAGACTGTCCTTGTGTAACCTGATACACAGTCACCCTAAATACAGCCCGTGGGGCCTCGTCATCTGGCCACTGCCTACTCCTCAACCTCTTCTTTCATCTTTATTCTCTCTCTATTGCTGTGCTTGACCACCCTGGATTTCTTCTAGTTTATAAAAGCATCATATTTTTTCAACTTAAGGACCTCCACATGGGCTATTCCATATTCTTAGGATGCAGTTCTTACTCTCTGCCTATCTCTCTCCAGATTGTCTTTCCAGCCTCTTCCTCAAAGAGAGCTTCCCTGTCCACCCAAATTGAAGGTAGGTCTCTCCACTTACACTCTTCCTTGGTGCCCTGATCCTTCTTCTCATCTCATTTTCACAATCTATAATTCAGTTTATTTTTCCAGTCCTTTAATGTCTTCCTCCTCTCCTACACTGAGTTCCAGGAGGGCAAGAATTAAATCTGTTTTTCCACCTTTCACTGGCCCATAGTAGGCCCACAGTGAATGCAGATTGAATGAATAAGTGAAAATGCCACAGGTGATACAGAGTGGATGTGACTCCAGGGACCTAGCTCTCCCACATTAATCTGCTTCTCCCTGACATCTCAGAGTCACTGAACAATGTTAAATTATACTCAGTATATATGTATACAAAGGGGAAGATTTCCTCTAAAATTAGTTTTTAAAATGTCAAAGTCTTGGCTTAAAGGAAATAGCCATTAATCACAGAGAACAACTCATGAATGTCACCATGTTTATGATGCTATTGTAAGTGAATGCACAGACCAGGAGACAGCATTTACTGGGCCCTGAGTAAGTCTCAGCAATGTGCTGAGCACTATTTAGTTCAATCCTCACAACCATCCTAGATGGTATGATACCATTTTATAAATGAGAAAATAGAGAACTAGAAAGGGTAAATTATTTTTTCAAAGTCTCACACAGGTAGTGGGGCAGAATCAAACTTGAACCCAGGTTTGTTTTTATACCAAAGAAAAAGGAGGCTTGCTAACAGCTTGCTAAGAGGACCAGACATGAAGGAGAATTGCTAAGATTTAGAATTTGGCACATATAAAGGGGTCAACAGGATCAGTAAAAACAAATATTGTACAAAAAAACAGGGAAAAATTTAAGTCTGCTTCAGTAAGTCCTTACATTTGATAAAGGGAAAAGAAATATTTCAAGTGATGGATTGGTTAAAGTAGCCTACCTTATCTTAACATATTGTAAAAGAAATGATGTTTTTGGTAGAAAATATTACTTTACATTGAAAAGTATAGAAAATAGTATTCATGGTATAGACATAATGTTAAAGAAAATAGACAATCTGGATGACAATGAATTCAACAAAGCAAAAGGCAGGCTGAGAAATTGATATTCAATGCCCCCCAGTGAGTGTTAGTGCTGCACACTGGTTTTCAGATTGATTGACACCAAAATTAGTATTCTGCAATTTGTAATTAGATGTAGGAAGCTAGAGCACTTTGGAGGCATTTGATGGGTTCTCATGCAGGCAGCTTAATTGATAATGAGATTTACGTGTTGTTATAGGAGCAGCAGATTGGAGGTTGAAGGGTAATATACTCATTACCTGTTTTCCGTCTAAAGAACAGATTGCTTCGTGTATATGAAAATAGGATTATACACATTTGGGAATAGTTGTCATTTTATAAACACATATAACTATATACATATATTCTAAGAAACTGTTCAATTTAATAGTTGAATTATGACAAAAGTCCAATACTATATAATATTGGCTGAAACAGCATCATTGAACTTCCTTTTATGCATTTCCTTAGATGTTATTAATGCTCAAATGTAATGACATATGTGACATTTGCAAATAGGTACATCCGGATTGTCCATAGCTATTAAATATCTTTATTACCAAAACCAGTTAATCTATCTCTCTATGTTGCATGTGGAATATTATTAAATCTCAAATTTTATTTTCTTGTTCAAAATCATTTCCATCATAACAGTTAGTTTTCAGTTGAAAAGTCCAGGTCACAGTGAATGTCTTTAGGCTCAATAATGGTGCTAAAGTTTAAAATACTAGTATTACTTATAAATATATTTAAATTCCTTTCAGCCCTATGATAGGCTGCAAAATAAAAATGGCTACAAATTCTTTGCAACACCTCCCATCGAGAGGTGGGGTATATTGAATCTGGACTTGGTTAGATGACTTGCCTTATCTAAAGGGATATTAGCAAACATGACATAACCAAAGGCTTAAAAAGTGTATGTTGGGGGTCTGTACTGTCTTCTGTTACTTTTAGAAGCCAGTCAACATGTGAAAAAGCCCAGGCTAGCCTGCTAGATACTGGAGATGTGTAGCTCAGTCACCCCCATCACCCAGCCAAATGCCAGACATGTGAGTGAGGATATCCAGGACCAATCAGCCTACAGTTGATCTGCCAGCTGAACACAAGGAGACCAGCACAACCACCACCAAGCTGAGCCTAGCCCACATAGTCAAGCAAAAAATCATCAGTTAGTAAATAATTGTTATTTTATGTCATTAGGTTTGGAATAGTTTTTGTTGTTGTTGTTGTTGTTGTTGTTGTTGTTGTTTTAGATGGAGTCTGGCTCTGTCGCCCAGACTGGAGTGCAGTGGCCGAATCTCAGCTCACTGCAAGCTCCGCCTCCTGGGTTTACGTCATTCTCCTGCCTCAGCCTCCCAAGTAGCTGGGACTACAGGCACCCACCACCTCGCCCGGCTAGTTTTTTGTATTTTTTAGTAGAGACGGGGTTTCACTGTATCAGCCAGGATGGTCTCGATCTCCTGACCTCGTGATCCGCCCGTCTTGGCCTCCCAAAGTGCTGGGATTACAGGCTTGAGCCACCGTGCTTGGCCTGTTGTTTGTTTTTTAATGCAGCAAAAGCTACCTGATACAAACCCTTACTCAACTATATGGCTAAAATATATGTCAATGTGTATATCCATAAAACTCAATATGTACCTAAAGACAATGTACATTATTAATTTACATTGTATTTGTTATCTCATTAATTATAGTGGAAGGTTTTAGTACATCATAAATTATGTAACAGCAAAGCTCCACTTGCCTGATAAATGATAATGTGAACAAACTAGACTTTCAATTAATACAAGGATTCTATGCCTTTTGATTTGAAGGGACCTTGGGCTTCCAGGAATTTTACAAATAGAAGTTTAAGATATGAGAACTAGATAGCTGGCTCCAATGATGAATTCAACAAGATAGAGTCATATAATCAATATTAAACTTGTTTTAATAGAAATTTGTAAAAGCTAATCTTTAAAAATACCATCCATGATTTACAAAATCATGAAAAGACTGATTTTTAAAAATATTTGGATTATTCGGTATATATTATTAGACAGATGTTAGTGTTATTGATCTATGTAATTGTCAAAAAATGTCATGTACTTCTTTGTTAACACATACATGCTTAGGTACATATGACCTATGTCAAAATTACCACAGTATCGCCATCAATTAACTAATTCTCCACTCTGCACCTTGCCACTACTAATACGGCATCCAATTCCAACAAAATCAACATGCTCTCTGCTTCTCCAGTTCTTCTCATAGCAGAGCTCTTTCTTTGCATAGATTTATTATTCTATTTGATTTCAGTTGTCTCTACATACAACGAAACAGCACACCGGCGTAATGTTCTTAGTTGTCACTACATGAGGCTTACTTTCTACTGCAACAAGACTTATACTGTAGGAAAGGTACCCAAATTCATAACCTGTCCTGAATCCTGCCAGCTCCTTAAATATTAGGGAGTTGAAAAACAAAACCCTGTGGAGATTATTCATTTTTATTCCCCAAATATTTACGTAAATGTGTCAAGTAAAGAAAGGCAATATTTTCCAATGAAGAAAACCAAAGTTGACTAATGTGGCTTACAAAGTTACTTGAATCATATTTTGAGAATATACTTCTTTCATATGTCCCACTAAAATGTATTCCAGCACACATACACATGTGCACACGCACACACACAGAGTGCAAACTCTATGTTTTTGTTACTAACAATGGTTTACAGAAGAGACCAACCACACGCTTTTGTTTACCTTTAACTTCTGTGCATTTGGGATTTGATGTGGCTACAAATTATCTTTCAGAAGTATAAATGAAGTAACAGCTGTACTGAATGCAAATAAAAGTAATTCTAGTAAGATCTGAACTGCTATATAATGCACTACATTTTTGTCAAACTCAGCTTTTCCAGCAGTCTGCAAAGGAGGCCCAGAATTCTAAGTTATGTGTATCTGGTCCCTGGGGGAGGGAAAGAAGAAACAGGGGTAAGAAGATATTTTCAGGGCAGACGAGGTACAGTAGGGTGGGTGGGATCGGGGTTTCCTGTTCTCAAATTCTTCGAGAGGTTTTTGAGCTAAAAGTCCCTTGTGAGTTCTATGTCAAAGTAATCAGTTAGAAAAAGATATTTCACATGTGATAGCCACATGTGAAGCACTTTCACAAAACTTCCACCAGTACACTTCCTCTCTCTAGCCTTTTTTTTTTTTTTCTTCCACAGATGTGCTGTCAAATAAAAGATGCTGTGGTAAGAATCATTTTATGATATTTTTGCATACTAAACTTGGCTGAACTCCTTGTCTCTCATTGCATCTTTGCTTCTAAGGGAATGTCACAGAATCCCTTGCTTAAGAGAAAGTCCTACTAACCTCAGCAAATTTTGTTTTTATCAGTGGTCATTAATAAAGAATAGAATTTGCTATCCACCAGTAACCATTGAACAATTTTGGCACCTCGGATGTGGACCATCATACATTAAGTTAAAAAGTCTTCCTTTTACTTGGCGATTCCTGGCCAGAGTAGCCTAGAGGCAGGAGGGGACTTGGGGTGAGAATCACTCTATCAATCCCTCCTTCCAAATCCTGAAAACCGAGGTTAAAATTTTCACAGGACACGTCCTTCCAGGGGAAGCTGACACTCACCTATGAGTGTTGTCCAAGTGGCAGGGGCACTGTTTGTCACATTTGATGCCGTAGAGCCCCTCAGGACACAGGCGTGCTTCGCAGCGCTCGCCAGCAAAGCCTGCTTCGCAGAGGCATGCGCCGCTCACATGGTAACACTTCCCTCCATTGACACACTGGCAGGTCTCAGCACAGAGAACGCCATAGGTCCCAACAGGACACTCATCCTGGCACCTACCAAGCAAGAGGCAGGAGCAAGAAGAAAGATTAGTTAGTGCCATGTGAAAATAAATGGTTGATCCAGAATGGCTTTGTTATGCATGAATTGAAGCTGCTTTTTGCTGTTTTAATTATTTAGTGATTGTCCCATTACAAGGATGAAAAGCATTAAGATACATTACTCTGGCTAAGTACACTCTGGCTACATATTGTAGTAACAGCAGCATGACCTGTAGAAAACAAAAACAAAACAAATAACAACAACAAAATGAAATCAAAACAAAAATACAACCTTAGGACATGAGGTATGTTTACACTTAGTGCTTGCCAAAGTTATACAGCACTTTAGTACATACTAAGAAAACGAGAAAAGAAATTTTCAAATGTTAGTCCATAATGATGAAATTTCAAAACATACTTTCCCAATTCCAAAGAGAAAATTTTGCGTCAAATTTGAAACTAAATTTTAATTCTCTTGGCTTTCATGTGGACATTAATTTTTAATCTTAGCCATGTTTCTACTTTTATTAAAAGCTGAATGGTAATCATTGCTCCTCAGTTAGAAAGCTCTTTAACTAATAAGCCAAGTCCTCTTTAGATCCGGGAAACTCCGAGCTACCAAAATCTGACATCCTCAATTCCAACATGGGAAGTGCCTGCCAGTAGGAAGGCTTGGCGTTTTCTAACACAAAATGTTTGGCTAGTGGGGGAGTATTGCCCTCTGTTGGGAAGAAGGGCTGCCAAATGGCAAGGAGTAAAGATCAGCCCTCAAACATTCACTTTATTGTCTTTTTAAAAATGGCATTGGAGCTCTGTCCAAGAGAAAGGATATGCTCTAGGTAAGGTGAATGAGGTGGGAAGCCGAGTTGCTAGAGGGAATCATGATAGAAAAGAGAAAATGATCTCTCTTGCTCCATGGAAAGCACAAATAGTTCTCAGACTAGCCAAGTTTCTTTTTGACTAGGCCAGGTGACTGGCTCTCTGCAGCAGCAGGAGAGCTTTCTGCCAAGGGAGGGAGACAGGGCTTTGCCCAGCCGAGCCTTCGCCACAAGAAGGGTACACTTTGTCTCGGCAGCCACTTCCCATGTAGCTCTCAAGTCAGGTCAGAACCAGAGTCAAAAATGTAGGTCAGCCTTGCATTTTTTAGATCTGTATAATGTGAGCAGCAAGGCATAATAACAAATTCAAGCACACTTAAAAGAAACAGAAAAGAAACATACTTCAAAGAAACAGTGTTTCCACAACTTTGCATATTTTTAATGATAGGGTGCAACAAGTAACAATACCAGGGTGGGAGGAATTCTATTTTAGTGTAGAGGACAAATCTTGATTTTTTTTTTTTTTTTTTTTTTTTTTTTTTGGAGATAGGGTCTGCCTCTGTCACCCAGACTGGAGTGGAGTGGTGCCATCATAGCTCACTGTAACCTCAAACTCCTGGGCTCAAGTGACCCTCCCACCTCTGCCTCCTGAGTAGCTAGGACCACAGGTACTCACCACCATGTCAGGCTAATTTTTAAATTTTTTGTAAAGATGAGGTCTTGCTATGTTACCCAGGCTGGTTTCAAACTCCTAGACTCAAGTGATCCTCCCACCTCAGCCTCCCAAAATGTTGAGATTATAGGAATGAGCCACTTGGACCAGTCCCTTTGATGCTTTTCTGGTTACCTCTGGCTCTAGCATATATTTAATGTGATGGAGACAAGGAAAAGAATCTCATGTAAATTTAGTTTCACAGATTCTAGACGTCTTCAGGTGTATTTGTCAACAGGTAGAACCTTCAATTGCTCAACAAACCATTAGGAAAGTTATGGAGTCATTGAACTAATACTCAGCATAAAATAAAATGTGTGCCTAAAAGTTATACATGGGTGTACCTATTTTTGGACCGGAGTGTATTTTTAAAAGGTGCTCTTTATTTTTAACCTGTAAGAAGCTTCAATAAGCCAAGTCATCGAGTTTATGCCTTAAAGATGTAAACTTTAAAGAAAGAAATGCATAGGCACAATAATTTGGCCTCATGATGGCTCCTACTGAAGGCTGTCAAGACAACTTTTCAGCCTGTCTGTTAGATTTTCTCGCAAGTCAGTACCAAAAGGAAAAAAGGTAAAAACAAATAATATCACTTTCCATCTCCTAAAAGGATTTGAAAACAAACCCAAACGTTAAATTTTAAACTATCTTCATGATTTCAACTTGGTAAAAAGCACCGCTTAAAAGTGGTTGAAAGTGGTATAGATCGGAAGCCTGGGAAAGTATCTGTTACCAAATTACAGGGAACCAGTGTGTTTATTTTATCATATCTTGGCAGAGACTTCCTTTCTCAGGAAAAATTAAATCTATAATAGCTGGCCTTGACCCACATTTACCTTTTTAACCTACAATTAAACACACTACTAGTTTGTATTATAAATATAAAACAAAAAGTCTTATTTGAATGTTACTTACTAAAGCAGCCATTATTTAAGCTGGATTCATATTCCCATTTTATTTTTTGTCAATGTTGCACTTGTAGGACAATTCTGTTAATAATAGTTACGTCTACTTCTATCCACCAAAGGAAAATGGTAGGATATCTTTCTAGAAGTATATATTTTCCATCTTGAAAATAAACATAATCATGAAATAGCTGATGCCTTTCTGATTGACTGTATTAAAAGTCTTTATCAAGCAGTCTTATCTCCTTTTTGGTCCCTTCACTTCAAGAAGCACCATTTCCCAACAAATTTTATGACCTTAATGCTGTTTCTGTGGTCCCAAATGGAACAGGAAAAGCTCTCAAAAATTAGTAAAAGAGAAAACGCGTTTTCTTAAGACAGCAGAAAAGTAATAAAGATACAGTAATAAATATTAGCCACAGTAGAAATATGGAAATTTGGGGTTTCTAATTTTTTTACATTTCAAGTAATGTCCTGGAATTGGTAAGAATGGATAAACATTAAGTAAAGTATTAACACATCAATTCCCAAAACCAATGAGGGTCATAGACTTGTTTTAATACCGTTTCTATTATTATGTTGCATATCATTGTGAACTTAAGGAAGAAAGAAAGTGAGTTAACATGTAAAGGGTGACAAGTACCGCTTTCACTCCTGTCCTAAGCATGTCCTTCCCTAGAGCGATTGGAATAGTCAGGCCAAACTATGATTTAGTGTGAAAGAATCACATTCCTCATTAAACCTGGGATCCATGAATTAGCTGCCTACCTTTCTAACATCTGGAACTGCTGCTCTGGGGGAAATGTAAAAAGCACTGGGAAAGAGCCAAGGTTTCCACGCTCCTAGACCCAGAAAAGAGTTCCTCCATTGATGACCAATGCTGCATTCCCCAATTCCTGTCTATAATTTTTGACTTCACCTCCTTTCACCCACATTTATCTTCACCTTCAGGGTACTATCGAACACAGGCTTGGCAGAGCTGTTTTGGGCTTCACCTTCACACAGTTCATCACTGAGTCACGCATACTTTCATCCAACTAACACTCACTGGCACCAATCATGTGTGTGGGCCCCTACTAGACTATTGCAGGACCCAGAGTGATCCTATGGCAGCACCATCAGCATGTGAAACTCTTTTAACCCCTTCAGAAGGAGTTTTTTGAGGATCTGGAAGCCATCATCTCTTCACTCTTACTTGACTGTGTCATGTTACATTTACTCACCACAATATCCTCTCAACCTTTCCACAAACCTCAAAGCCTTTTATTTGGGCATCCCATGCACTGCTCTGCCAGCCTACGGGGTGCCTGTTTGGATTTTTCTTATTTCCCTCTGGCCGGGAGGACTGTCCCCACATCCTGGGAATGCTGTGCAGGCTCCTAGGGCCGGCAGCCCTCTGCCCTAACCTCACTGATCAAATTTCGCTGACTTCTCAACACAAGGGAAATGGCAAGTTACGACCCCAGCCTGTCAAGGCCTTTCTCCCCACACCTCCCGTCACGGACTGCCTCATGGACGTTCACTGTTGTCCTTTCATAGTGACAAATGTGTTTGCTGTCTTTGTGTGTGTGTGTATGTGTGAACTCCAGAGCCTAGACAGGGATGACAGCTGAAAACAGGAATCATTTCACTGGCTCATCAGAAAAACAATAGTTACAAGAGCAGCAGATCCAGAAGCAAGTTCTCTCTTTACTTGCTTTCTCTTTCTCTGGCCCCTGGCCTTCCTTGGCTCAAATGTAAAATGTATCTGAAAATTAACTGTTATTCCCTTTCCCTGTATTCCAGATGAAATATGTATAAGCTCATTTGCCTTGTATGTTTATTGTTCTTGTGCTGCCTCTAATTTGAAACTTAAATCCCTAGAGGGCAAGAAAATAATTATATTGCCATTTTAGTGCCCTAAAATATGACAAGAAACTATTATTAAGATTGTGTTTGGTCTTGTGCCTCCCTTATCCCAACTCATTTTTCTATAATAGGATATTAAATGGATCCAGAAATTATCTAACAGCCTAATCTATCCAAAATACAACCTAAAACTAGGATGTCAGTTACAAAATCTGAGTAGTCCAATTACATGTTATAAAAACTGTGTACTAAGAATGTCAACAATTCATTGTATGAAAAATTAAAGGAAAAATATGTAATTATATTAGCAAAAGACAAAAAGTCATTTAATGAAATTAAGCAGCTATTAACAAAAGATTTTAATTAAAAAAAGGAATTTAAAAAACTACTTAAGAATGAAGAAAATAATTTACCAAATACCAATAGCAAACATGAAACCATGCTGAAGCCATTTCCAATAAATTCGAGAATAAGACAGGGATTTTTACTTTTACTGCTGTTTGTCAGCATTAATTTGGAGGCTCAAATTTATGCAATAATTCAAGGAAATGAAATAATCATTATACATATTGAAAAGAAAAGACTAACTTATGTTTATTTGTAGATGATATGATAGTATAACTAAATAACTCCAGAGTTTGCTAAAAACAACATTAAAATTACCTTAAAAGTTTGGTATTATGAATAAATTAAAAAGTAACTAGTCAAAAGCAAGTTTTTCTCCAACCTGAAATATCCAATTAGATGCAGAAATAAAATTTTAAAAAATTACATAATACTCAGAAATAAATTTAATAAGAAAGTACAGAGTCTAAGTTGGAGAGAGGAGGGAACAAACCTGACAGTATCTTATTAAAAGTTATAAAATTATACCAGGATTTTAGAAAGAGAAAAAATAAGGGGAAAAAAGTTGAAGGAATTCTTAATTCAAAGACATCATAAAAAATAATGATAGCTAATATTTATACAGCTCATAAACATCACTCAAATTGATAATCACTAGTATTTACACAGTTCATAGAAATCGTTCTAGAATAATAATATCTAATATTGATAAGTTCCAGGACTGTTTTAAATGTGTTAACACACTAACTTATTTAATCCTTACAACAACCCTAGAGAAAAGTACAATTATTATTAGGATGTTAGAGACAAAGGTGTTTCCAACGCCTATAATCCTAGCACTTGGGGAAGCCGAGGTGGGCAGATTGCCTGAGCTCATGAGTTCGATACCAGCCTGGGCAACACAGTGAAACCCTGTCTCTACTAAAATACAAAAAATTAGCCTGATGTGGCAGCGTGTGCCTGTAATCCCAGCTACTAGGGAGGCTGAGGCAGGAGAATTGCTTGAACCCGGGAGATGGAAGTTGCGGTGAGCCGAGATCATGCCACAAGACTCCAGCCTGGGGGAAAAACGAGACTCCGTCTCAAAAAAAATAAAAAATACAAAGTGTTTCCAGGGACACATTGACCTAAACCTAGATTCCAAATGGTTGTTTTTCATCACTATGCCCTTCTGCCTCTCAAGTCTCTTCTCAAATCCTACACACACATCCAGTGAGTTTGGCTACCTAGTCTTGCAGGACATGACAGATTCACGAGCATTGAAAGAAGGATGCATACATCAAGTTAAAAACCTTCTGCACAGCAAAGAATACAATCAACAAAGTGAAGAGACAACCCACAGAATGGGATAAAGTATTTCCAAACTATCCATCTGACTTATAGGTTGGTGCAAAAGTAATTACGGTCTTCACCATTACTCTCAATGGCAAAAAACCGCAATTACTTTTGCACCAACCTAATAACCACACTATACAAGGAGCTCAAACAATTTTATAGGAAAAAGTCTAATACTCCAATCAAAAATAGGCAAAAGATTTGAATAGACATTTCTCAAAAGAAGACATACAAATGGCAAACAGGCATATAAAAAGGTGCTCAACACCATTGATCATCAGAGAAATGCAAATCAAAACTACAATGAAATAGAATCTCAAACCAGTTAAAAATGGCTTATATCCAAAAGACAGGCAACAACAAATGCTGGTGAGGATGCAGAAAAAAGGGAACCCTTGTACACTGTTAGTGGGAATGTAACTTAGTACAACCACTATGGAGAACAGTTTGGAGGTTCCTCAGAAAACTAAAAATTGAGCTACCTTATGATCCAGCAATCCCACTGCTGGGTGTATACCCAAAGAAAGGAAATCAGTATATGGAAGCATATCTGCACTCCTAGGTTTGTTGCAGCACTGTTTACAATAGCTAAGATTTGGAAGCAACCTACATGTCTATCAACAGACGAATGGATAAAGAAAATGTGGTACATATACACAGTGGAGTACTATTCAGCCATAAAAAGAATGAGATTCAGTAATTTGCAACAACATGGATAGAACTGGAGATCATTATGTTAAATGAAATAAACCAGGCACAGAAAGACAAACATCACATGTTCTCACTTATTTGTGGGATCTAAAAATCAAAACAATGGAATTCATGGACACAGAGAGTAGAAGAATGGTTACCAGAGGCTGGGAAGGATAGTGGGAGGGTGTGGGGAAATGGGGATGGTTAATGGGTACAAAAAAAATTAGAAAGAGCTGGGTGTGGTGGCTCATGCCTGTAATCCCAGCACTTTGGGAGGCTGAGGTGGGTGGATCACGAGGTCAAGAGATCGAGACCATCCTGGCTAACACGGTGAAACCCCGTCTCTACTAAAAATACAAAAAAAAAAATTAACTGGGCGTGGTGGTGGGCACCTGTAGTCCCAGTAACTCGGGAGGCTGAGGAAGGAGAATGGCGTGAACCCGGGAGGTGGAGGTTGCAGTGAACCGAGATCGCACCACTGCACTCCAGCCTGGGTGACAGAGCGAGACTCTGTCTCAAAAAAAAAAAAAAAAAAAAAAAATTAGAAAGAACGATTAAGACCTACTATTTGATAGCATAATAGGGTGACTATGGTCAATAGTAACTTAATTGTACTTTCTGAAATAATTTGAAGAGTGCAATTGAATTGCTTGTAACTCAAAGGATAAATGCTTGAGGGGATGGATACCCCATTCTGCATGATGTGTTTAGTTCACATTGCATGTCTCTATCAAAACATCTCATGTACTCCATAAATAGATACATCTACTATGTCCCACAAAAAAAAAAAAAAGAAAAAAATTGAAGAAAAAGAAGTAGGGTGTGCAAAGCACTCTGAGATAACAGTTTACCATTTAACACAGAGGATGATGAACAGGGGCAGGAAAACCCACACGAGCACAGCCAGTTTTTCCTGTTTCGTGTGGGACCAGAGGGCCCTATAAGTCCCAGCAGATCTGACTCTGTCACCACCACACAATCTAATGATTGACATTCTCAACAGAACACTGAATCATAAGAAAGCCACTTCATACTTTTGAAAGGTACCTAAGTACACATCCCATTTAAAAATAAATCTATTCCCAAGCACTTAAAGGGTAAATGGCAGTCCTAAACACTCAACTCTCTAGAATGACATTTTCATCATGGGTTCTGAATAGCTGACATTTTATGGTATTTTTTTTTTTTAGTGCTTTTTCTGTTATTTTCAATTTACCATTGCTATTTATAATTCAGTTGCTATACACTGAATTAGGATAGAATCTGCCAAACACATTGAGGCTATATAGCTACTTCTGAAATATTATGGAAGAGTCATGGACACATGGTATTGAAGATGCTCCCTGGACCCTACAAACTTTCCTTTCACATCATTATGAACAGTCAGAGAAATACAAGGGCATCCCTTACCGTTCCCCTGTGTATCCTGGACTGCAATGACATTGGCCTGTGGCAGCATCACACGTCCCTCCATTATGGCACTGGCATTCTTGGGAACAGTTCTTTCCAAAGCGACCCTCGGGGCAAGGCTGACCACATACTGTGCCCTGCATTCAAAGAGACTTGGAAAATTAGATGGGCCTCCAGCCAGGGAAAGACGACTGATGGATGAAGAAGAAAAGAGAGGAAATAGAAAGGAAGGATAAGGGAACAGGGCTGCAAGAAAATTAGATTGGGGAATTTTAGAGCACATAAACTGTTCATCATCTTTAAAACGTTAGAAACATTAAATTGACTTAATTACTCAGTAAGCCCAAATCTCAAGATACATTCAAAGATGGCTGAATAGTAATATTAAGCAAAATCCATATTAAAAACTGAAGTTTAAGACAAAGTTACATCTAACTATTATGGCAACCTAAGGAATGTATAATCCTCCTGATGTTCTTCCTTGTGTCTTACATGCACAATAAGTCAACAATACTTATTGAGCATCCGTTACATAAATGGCAACATCTGCCGCACACAGAATATCCAAATGCTTTACCATATGTTCTAGAGAAAATACACATTTTATCATTGACGTTATTTCTTAAAATGTAGCATAACACAAGATTGAAATTTTGTGTACCTGAATTAACAATCACATTGCCAAAGAAAGACTTTTACAGGAATGAACCTAGACATTTATTTCAGAAAAAAAAACATTTTATTTTCAGCAGATTCAACAAGCATTGCTGAGCCAAGATCAATAGGAAACTTATTTCCTGGAGAGAAAAACCAAGAGAGTAACTTGGATATTTCTCCTCACCCTAGAGGCTGTCCATCTTGTCAAGCAGTCATTATATTTACTCCAATCCTGCGTGGATAAGAGTAAGATACTGTACCATTAACTCAATGAAATACTCTGTTTTCTTCTTCACTTGGCTGTAACACTTGGGCTCACAGCTTCTCATCTATTTATTGGACTTATAATTAGACAAACAACATATCCCAAATAACAGGGATTTTTCTAATGTTTTTAACTATTGGAAGCTGTTGCTCTGTCCTCCCTCTCTCTAAAAAAAGGCAGACTGTGGGCACTCTGAAATTGGAGGCAAGTGAACACCAGATGGTTTCCTAAATGTTTATTCTGGACAGCATAAGCAAATACATTTCCTCTAACTCCTGGCTACCCACAAAGGCAGTTGGTGTGCTAATTAAGTCTCCTCTGGTGGTTTCTAGCTATCTACAAATGGGAAATTTCTTCCGCAGACTCTGGGAATGGAAAAGGCCTTTGAGAGATGATTCGAATCAGCACTTAACTGAGAATCATCTACGTGCCAGGCGTTGAGCTAAGCACTGAGAATCAAAGATAAGGTAACAATCCTCAATTAGCTCACAATATGGGGAAGGGGACAGATGTAAAAATCATTCTAGTCTCTCCACTCCAGTCTGACATGGTATACTTAGTGTGAGGTAAAAGCATGACTGCAGGAATAATGTACTGAAGGTCAGTCTGTGGTAAGCAGGGGTGAAAATTCTCCCTCTCTCAGGGCCTGACTTAACTACCCATAATGGTCCCACACAAGCTTCAGAAATGCACTGAAATATTTTCGTGCATAAGGATTAACATTCACAAGCAGCTTTAAAGAGGACATGATTTCTCTTAGTTGAAATACGAAGGTATGTGTGTATAATAGGAATATATATTCAACTTTGAAAAGCACATAGGATGACAGCACAAATAACATGTTGTAAAGGAGAAGTATAAGTTGAAAGCTCAGCTACACAGGAGAAAAAAACAAGCTGAAGGATTTTTGAAGCAGAAGTAAGGTAAGGGGCCCAGGACACAGAGAAAGAGGTGAGGGGAGGCTCCGTTGGGCCGCTAGAGAGGGGTCCATCTGTCTACATACTGGGACTCATAACCCAAGCCTGCGGTTACCATTTACTCACATCCTGACCACCCCAACTGAGAAGAGCTTCAGCCTCAAGGCAAGGCAAGGCAACTCCACAGACAATATCTACACAGAAGTCCTAGGAGTAAAAGGCCCGCAGTTCCTTATCCAGAGAGCATAGGGTTCTCAACACTCTGCTGCTCCAGCAAAACACTTTCATCGCAGAAGACCAACGCTGGCAAAAGGCTGAGTATAGGAAATGAAAGAATAGAAGGAGTCAAAAATAACCCAGCATCTTTACCTCAGACAACTAAGAGAGAAGTGTTAGTTTTAACCAAGACAAAAAAGGTAGAGGAGGAGTAGCCTTACAAAAGGCTTGGGTATACAAGTTTGGATTTATTAAATTTATTAACATCAACTCTGCCAGGCCTGCTCAAACCTGCTCAGTACTCCTTAAACAGCTTCTCTTTCACCTTGTCCTCATCCTCAGGCACTCAATTAAAGTTCTCCTCTCTCTCAAACTCCGTTGCCTCATGCTGTTTCTCCACGCTTTGCCTCTAAAATGAACTTTGTCTGGGCTACTCATCATTTCTGACCCTCTCAGATCTGATTTTTATTGTATACTTGCCCCAGTGGCCTTGACATCTTAAACTCTCTCTTACTTCCCAAGACCCTCATTGAAAAATGAACTCCAGTTCTCCTTTGTTCCACAGCCACAAGAAAGGGCAATACCAGACCAATTCTCTGCCTAGGTCTGGCTGTGGAGACTCTAGCTTGGATATTGCCCAAACAGATGGTGGCTTTGTGTCTATAGGTTATCAAGGTTGGGGTGACAAATATAAATCTAAGCTCAAGGCAGGTAAGATCAACATCTAGGAAAATCATCAAGTGCTTCTTAAAGCTATGGGTCTGGATGAGATTGCCAGAGTGGATTTATGGTGAGAAAAGAGGACAAAATCCTGTAATGAAGTAGTATGTAGAAGAAGGGGAATTATAAAAAGAGATCTTTAGTATGAAAGGTAAGAGAGGGGATGATTAGAAAAATAGAAGGCAAAGGAATTAAGGAACGGAGGTTGGTGATCAACAGAAAGAAAAGCTTTGGAGAAGTGAAGCTGAATGAGAACAGAAGAGTCTTGGCAATTCAGTCCCTTGTAACCTCTGAAAGAACAGCTTCAGCACTGCTCATGGAAATAGAAGGTGATTAAAAAAAAAAAGTCAATTGCTCTGTTAAATAGTTTGCTAATGAAGGAAACAGATATTGGTTGCTCACTCATCTGCCTTCAAGCAGACATAGGCACAAACCAACTCAGAGAGATGACATCAATATTATTCTATTTCCTGATTTCAGATGTCTAATTTGAAGCTAATTGTTACTGTGTATTCTACGTAACTCTAAGCATGTGAAATTGCTACATGAAGAAAGGGTACTCTGGTCAAAGTTTGGAGAATATGTTGAATAGCCTCTTCTTGGATTATCACACCCAAGGCTCTGAGAAGTCCTGCAATATTTGGTAAATGTGGTTTACCTCAATGTATCCCCAGATTTATATGATTTTTTTTTCACATGACACTTATACTGTTAAGAATAATGTTCCCAAAGAACAACAGCAACTCCTGGAACAAAATTATGAAAATAATTATTAAATAAATCCAGTGTTCATCAGCACTGACTGTCATGTGAGACTAGATATTTGTCTCTCTTTTTGTATCTTTAAGGGAAATGCAGGACAGATGGCCACTATCCTTTACATGACAACCTTTAATGCACTTCAAGTCTAGGACTAAATCACCTTCTTCTGTCTCCTCAGAACTGAAGAGCTTCGGCTTTAAAATGGCTTGAGTCTTTCCAATCTTCAACCACCATGGTAACTTTCTTTTGTGCTAAAGTCTCCTGCATGTGTATTCATTGAGTATCCTGGAATGGGTGACTTTGGGGCGGGGGCAGAGGAGGTGGGAAGGAAGCTTACCATCCAGCCAGAAGGGCAAGAGCATTCTCCAGTGACGTGATGACACACTCCTCCATTTTGACAAGGGCATCTCTGCTCACACTGTGGACCATGTTTACCAGGAGGACAAAGATCCTCACAGCTGAGGGATTAACATGTGACAAAGGACACTGTTATTTCCCAGACACATGATCCTCAGGTTCACAGGCACAACAGCGCCCAGGGTCCCCAAAATAGACAAGCTTTCTGTGTTCAATAATCGCTTCATTTAATTAATTGACATCAAGAACATTAATCATATTGCCTGGAAGTGTCTTTGAGGAGTCACCCAGTCCTTCCCTTTGTTTTGGGGTACTTTCTAATAAAGCCATTTCAGTTGGAAGAGAAGCTGTCCTGTCTGAGAACACTGAGGAAGAAAACTGGCCAAACACTCATTGGTGACAGGAACTTTTCATGTAACTCTTATAAAGCGCTTGTGCTCCAATTTAAGTCTACCTTTGTTTATGTGTTTGTTCTATTCCCAAAGAAAATTGAGATGTTGCACATCACACCCTTTGTGCACATATTCATCATTCATTTTTTTCATTTTTAAAATTGTCCTTTAAGTTCCAGGATACATGTGCAGAATGTACAGGTTTGTTATGCAGGTGTACACGTGCCATGGCGGTTTGCTGCATCTATCAACCTGTCATCTAGGTTTTAAGCCCCGCATGCATTAGGTATTTGTGCTAATGTTCTCCCTCCCCTTTTCCCCCACCCCCAGACAGACTCTGGTGTGTGATGTTCCCCTCCCTGTGTCCATGTGTTCTCATTGTTCAACTCCCGTTTATGAGTGAGAACATGCAGTGTTTAGTTTTCTGTTCCTGTGTTAGTTTGCTGAGAATGATGGCTTCCAGTTTCATCCATGTCCCTACAAAAGACATGAACTCCTTCTCATCATCCATTTTTGGCGTTCTCTCCTCCTGACTGACAAGTTTCCCTTCTCTCACCCACCCACGTGTCGCACGGCCCTTCTTCTCTAAGCCTTTGTCTTTCCTGGTCTCCTGGGAATTCACTCCAAGTTTCCCAGAGCCCAGTTCAATTGTGGCCTTGATGAAAACCCATAAAAGCAATATTAACAATTAAACAGTTTGAGATAATCTTCAATTCTGAAAATCAGGGCTTTCTAGGGTAATGCAATTTTTTTCTTTAGCTCCACTCTACAGACATTTAACACTGTTGGTAGGAAGTATTTACCTAATCAGCCATATTTTGTTTTTTCAAGTTTTAGTTCTGTGATTTATAAATGTAATTTTCTCGGTAAGAGAATAGCTTTTTCTATCTCTTACTTTTTTTTTTAGCAACTTCTGCCTCTTAATTCTGTTGGTGAATAGAAGTGAACTGAAGCATGCCCTTCCCACAAAATAAAGACAGTGGAGGTTAAGTAGTTGCTTGAATGTTCCTCAGAAAGAATTAAACTGTGTGTGCACATAATCTACATAGATGTAATACATACATCTTTACATTCACAAAGCAATATGTATACATGGGCATTAAATAACATATGTATCCCTAAGAGTTAATCTTTTATTATGGACTATTTTTAACACCTTCCTCCTTTTCTCTTCTAATGCACTGAACCCACCCAGCTTTCCCCAGCTATTTAATTGCCACAAAGAGCAAAAAGACATGGACCATTAACACCCAGCAGTATAAATGAACGTAATCTCGGGAGATCCAAACAGAACCCCAAATATGCCCCCAACAACCCCCAAATAGTGCCATTCAACACAACATCCTGACTGACCCTCTTTCTCTTTGCCTTGCTAAAAGGAAAGCATGGAAGCTGGCCCTTAGATTCAGGCTGGGCTCTGATGTCCAAGAGCCAGCAGCAGCAGCACCTAGTGGCCATCACTGCTGACCTCTGCATCTGTGCCTGCAGCCTAGACCCATCAGTAACTCTTCAGGCAGCAATGCAAACTGAAGCACAAGAAATATGATGGCAGCAGCAGCATGAATGGCGAGGGTGGGTGGGCTCCGCTCTGCTGCTGGGCAGCATGTGACTTACAAGGCTCCGGTGTATCCTGGTGGGCAGCGGCATTCCCCCGTTACGTGGTCGCAGGTGGCTCCATTCTGGCACTGGCATCTCTGATGACAGTCGTTACCATAAGTGCCCTGCTCACAGCGGTCCTCACAGCGCCAGCCCCGGAAGCCCGCAGCACAGTGGCAAGCCCCGGTGATGGGGTTGCACAGAGCCCCATTTTTGCACTGGCACCGGCTGGTGCAGTGGGGACCCCAGTGATCACCATCACAGGCTGAAGTTGGGGAGAGAAACAATGGATATCAGAGCATGGGTGTGGGTAAGGGAGAACCAGATTTCTTCTCCTCTTGGGGAGAATGGCTTGGTGCCCTCTCATCGCCATTCATTAGCTGGACATCAGGGTCCTGGCCCCAACCCATGGCAATGCTTCACAAACTGGTGCTCAGCACCAACTGGGCCACCTCCTATCACTCCATTGCTTAACTTCATTGCAATCATGTCAAATAAAAAAATAAAAAGTCCCCATGCGTTTACTCAGACTGTGTTCTGAATCCAGAGTATGGGGTCTGATGTGGCTGGAGAAATGGGCTAGGGGAAGAGCTCAGGGGTTCTGCAAGGAGAGCAGGCTGGCTAGGCAGATGGGAATGATCAGCTTATGCGGGACTTTTTTTTGCATATGAAGGAGTTTGGATTGCATCCTGTGAACAAGGGATTGGTAGTGAAAGATTTTAAGCAAGAAGGGAGAGCACAGATTTGCCTCCTCCTAGGTGTGTGGAAGGAGTTGATGATGAGAGGCAGAGAGATGGAGCAGGAAAAATGGCAACAGTCCAGATCACCATCACAGGCAGTGACCATGAAAAGGGAGAGGGGACCCAGAGGCAGAGGTACTGGGGAGTGGACTGACCCTGCTACAGGTCTGGGCCAGAGTCCCAAGTCCTCTAAGAAGGAAACTACTGATTTGCTTTTAAGATATCAGTCAAAACATCTGTGATTGGAAGGTAATCAGAATTACCAACCAAGAATAATAATAATAATAATGGGCAGAAAAAAACGGACAAATATGCTTAAATACATTGACATATTTTAAAAAATAAGACACACCTGAAGCTGAAGAATGCACATTAAATAAAAAGATAATAGAGAAACAAAACCGGGTAAAAGACAAAGGAAGAAAATAGCATTTGAGAGATACATTTAAAGTGTAGTTCCAAAGAAAAGAAAGAGAGGCTTCAATATAAAAGTCAGTGAGTAGAAAAGGGGAGCAGGGAAGGAAAAAAACTTCAATTCCAAACATTCTAAAAAATTAGAGACGGTGATGATAAACAAAATGTGTACTCTTAATATGTATTGCTGAGCCAGCAGCATATTTATTAGATGCTATAAAAATCACTTGAAGAAGAAGCACCCTGCCTAGAGCTCTTAGAATAAACTGCTTTTATGATTTAAAAAAACCAGTTTCATTTCGTAAAAATTTTGTAACTTCAACAGACCTGGAATAAATTGTTCAAAAGAAAAAAACTCTAGGTACACAGCAAACAACCCATCAGAAGTACTGAATCTGTCTTCCAATATTAGAATCTACCTTTGATTTCATAATATCAAAAGGTTTAAATGAATAATTCTGTTTTTAATCAGTATGACTTTGGTCTCATTAGTACTTTAATAAATACACTTTAATACAATTAAAAACAATGAGAGAGAATTATGGAACCTAAAGCAGATCAATAAAGCAATTACCTAAGAACTCACAATCTTCTTTCACAAAATAAGATTAGGTGGTAGTTCCAAAATGAGACTGAAGCCTAATTGTTATTCATATGAGTTGTTTCTTTTATTGCCTATGGATATGGACAATGAGTCTTTTTTTCCATTGTAATTCTTTTAATCTAGGATCTTAAAAGAAAAAAAAAAATCTTTAAGAAAATTGCATGGTATGTTCCTTTTGATCCTCTCAGCTACCCCAGGTAGAGAAGACTCCGTCCTGTTTTGCTAAGAGCCTCCAAAATAAATTACACATGCCTTTGTAACTTGTTACTTGATTCATTAACCCTCAAGAGTAAGAAAAATCATTCCACATGAGCCAAATTCGTTATCTTATCATTGAAGCCTTTTCTTCTCCTGACTTTTTCACAGTATAGTAAACCAGTTCACCACTGTCCTCTCTATTAAAAATGACCTTATTCACAAACGAGAAGGCAGCTTGGCCTGCTCTTCTCTAAATACTACAACTCTAATACTTTTACTTAGTTTCAAAAAGTTTATTTGGTTTCATTTATCCTTTTACTGAATGCTCTCCGAATTTTCCTGTCCCTCTTAACTTCTAGGAACTTCAGATACTGAATTAAATATCTGTCAACTCCTTATGTTCAGTGGAGAATTAGCTGACTGACAAAAAAGAAATTTTACCTAATAAAATTACCTTGATACAAAAAGCAAGATCATGTCAAAAGCACTTTAAAAAATCATGGTGGGTTATTACAGAGTTTTCCCCCATGTGACACTGTGGTCTTGGTGGCCCCAAGCACACATGCTTTACAGAACATGTTTTATAAAACAAGAGAGTGGTAGGGAGAAGTACAGGAACTGAGGGGACAGGACTGATTTCTCCTTTTCTTCACAACCATGTTCTACACCTCATTCAACAACTTATCTCCCAGTGGAACAGTCAGGCAGACACCAGCTCTGTTTTCTTAGGATTAGAACAGAAAAAGAACAACAACAAAAAAAAACTTTGAAGATATCTTATCATGATAGAAATGAGTTTATAGCAGAAATTGATAACTATCAGCATAGAAAAATGGGTTTCAGGCTTTTCAAGAAATATTATCATGTTGACATGGTTAATTTCCTGGCTATATCCAAGCACAGTGACATGTTTTCAAGTGATAACTTCCCCACTTTGGGCTGTATTTTCCTAAACTGTCACTAATACATGGACCTCACAATATGAATACTGTTCATTAACATGGTCTATTCAGGAAAAAAATTCACATACAGATCTTTACAGACAAATAGGCATTAGAACAAGTAGGACACAGAAACCTGGGTTGAATTCAGACATTACTGTGACTTCCTTTCCTTTCTTCATTTGTCATATTTAACCATTTCAACGTATCCATTTTTAAATGTATCCCAGTGAGTTACACAGGCTACAGCACATAAGGCAGCTTTCATCCCTGATAACTACAAGGGTAAACTGACTTTGTCTAGACTGGAGGCAGAATTCATTCCTTATGTTTAGTGCAGAATTTGACCAGTTATTCGGAATTGAAGTACCATGTTTGGAGAGACAGCTCGGAGAGAGTCTGAACTCAAACCATCTGACATCTTTTCCTTAACACTTCACTCTAATCTCACAGGGCAAGAGTTTCTTTCGCTCCACAAGAGAAAGTGACTGGTTGGCTATTCCCACTAACAACTTATAAAATACATAGTTAACATGAAAATAACTTGAGTATTCTATTTTTAAAAAAGAGGTAAAGGAACAAAATTTTATTTCAGATTAAACTGAAAGTGACCTAAATGCTACGAGCAAGTGCCGACTCATTTTCAGCCTCTGGTTTCAGTTCTTACCATACTAACCGCCGGAAATGGGCTCTCAGATGCAAGATGCCCAGATTCATGCAGATATTTCATGGAATGGCTTAATGAGAGTCTCAGACAGGCACAGACAGCTTGCTCTAATAAGCTCTCATAATAAGTTGGAAGTTTAAACTGCTGGTTTAGTACTACTTGGATTATATATAATTGAAGCTCCAATCCTTAAGTAAAAACTAGTAGAGAACTGGATCTTCTCAAAACAATAGACTCACATTGGAACCCTTATGGCTATAACTTTCAATACCCCAGTAACCCCAGGTTACATTCATGGGCTGGGTACTGAAGTTCATTCAAATGATAGTTTTTAAGTACCTGCCATGCGTCAGACATGGTGCTAGACTGGAATTCAAAGGAAAATAAAGAGCACAGGCTTCTAGCAGCTTACCATTTAATGACAGAGACATCAAGTCTGAGGTAATACAATACTGAATAATAAGTAATAAGGTCAGGGGATGGATGAGGTACAATGGAAAACATAAGGAGGTGATACTTAAGCAACCAGTGTTGGTGTATCAGAAAAGGCTTCCCAGCTAAACTGTTGCCTAAACTGAGACCAAAACGCAGGGTGTGCCACATTTAGGTACAGGGTGTTAGGTAGGAAGTCTGGGTGTGAGGGGTGCAGGGGCTGCAGGGAATGATACATGCAACAGCCAAAAGACTATGAACACTAACTTGATTCTCTCTGCTATTGTACTATGGCCATTAACATTTTCACAGCTCTGTACACAACAAAACGAAGTAGGAATAACTATGGAGAGATAGTAGACCTGTCCTCTTGCTCCCTCAGTACTCTCCAGCCTTCCAAATGCAGCTCAGGAAACTCTGTCCTTAGGCACACTTTTGAGAACAGATCCAAGATACTCTCTGTAAATAGTATTATCTACTTTCCATGTCATTCACTTTGCACTCAGATGATAATTTTTCTTTATTTTACTTTTTGTAGAGATGGGGTCTCACTATGTTTCCCAGGCTGATCTTGAACTCAAGGCCTCAAGAGATCCTCCATCCTTGGCCTCCCAAAGTTCTAGGATTACAGGTGTGAGCCACTGTGCCCAGCAACTAGTTCGTAATCTTTATATTTGCTGGCCTAGTTCTGTAATTTCCAAATGAAACTGAATTTCATAGATGTCACGATGCAATGACACCCTTTCTTCATTTCAGCAGAGTCAATAGGTTTTGCACAGCCATGTATGACAGTCATCTGTTTGACAATGATGATTAGATGCATTCTGATTTCAGAGGTGAAAATCTGTGCACCCTGAGTCATAATAATAATGATGTTGAGACTGATGCTTACAGTGATAATGGTAACCTCCCCCGTGAGTGCAAATCCGCATTTTTTTTTTTAAGACAGGGTCTCACTCTATCACCCAGGCTGGAGCACAGTGGTGCAATCTTGGATCACTGCAGCCTTAACCTTCCCTGGGCTCAAGTGATCCTCTCACCAGACGCCCACCACCACGATCGGCTACTTTTTTGTATTTTTGGTAGAGATGAGGTTTCATCATGTTGCCCAGGCTGGTCTTGAACTCTTGAGCTCAAGCTATCTGGGCACTTTGGCATCCCAAAGTGCTGGGATTACAGGAAGGAGCTGCTGCAGCCAGCTGGAAACCAGCACTCTTATATAGTACTACAGGAGAGTAAATTACCACATCCTTATTAGAAAGTAGTCTG